TTACTCTGTCCCCCCCCCCCCCAAATGTTGGGAGTAAAAGCGTACCACCACGCCCAGAGCTATATGGAGATTACAAATTGTTAACAAAGTGCTTTGTTTTTCACATCTCAGTTTTGTCGTCTTTGCAGAAAAATATTTCTGCCACTTGGCAGTGTTTGGAGTGATGTTTTTAAAACAATTTTACTTATAATGGTGTGTACCTGAGTGTAGGAGCCTCCAGAGGCCCAAGTGTTGGATCTCCCTGGAACTGGAGCTGAGCAATTGCCATAGGTGCTGGGAATTACCTTGGTCCTCTGGAAGAGGAGTAGATGATTTTAACCTGAGCCCTCTTTCCAGCCTGTATTAGAATTTTTCTTTTGTCTCTTTTTTCGGTCTTTAGTTTCTTTTTGATTTGGAAGTTGTGTATTTTGTTTGTTTGTTTGGTTTTTTGAGACTGTGTAACCCTGGCTGGCCTGGAACTTACCTCCCAGTTGTTGAGGTTAAATGCACAGGCTGTACCACCGGGATTGAACTGGTTCTTCTTTAACCTTACATTTGTCAGAGTTTTGGGTTTTTTTGTTTTTTTTTTTTCTCCTGTGATGTGTGTTCCGGGAGATTCTGGAATCTGATAACTTTACCTTTTATTTTGTTGCCAGTGTATTTTGAACATTTCGAAATGAAGATTAATGTGTGTCTGTCTGTCTGTCTGTCTGTCTGTCTTTGTGTGTGTGGCCAAAATAGGATGCTGGGCCTTCTAGTGCTGGAGTTATAGGTAAACCATCCTAATGGATGCTGGGAACCAAATTTTGATCCTTTGGAAGAACAGCAAATGCTTGTAATAGCTGAGCCATCCCTTCAACCTCTTATTCTCGGAAATCATTACACCATACCCACAGTCCACCATCTGTAAGACTTTTAAACGTGTGGCTTATGCTCCCAATCTTATCTCCACAGGAAGTCGTTTTACTTTAAAATGTTTTTAAGTGCCGGGTGGTGGTATTGGTGGTGCACTTTTAATCCCCAGCACATCGGGGGATCTCTGAGAGATCAAGGCCAGGCCTGATCTAAGAGACCCTGTCTCAAAAACCAAACAAAACAATGTTTTTTAGTATGTGTGTGTAGTAGGTAGGCACAACTATACCAGGGCTTTTTGGTGATGGTCTGTGTGTGTGCGTGCTCGCACAAGTGCTAGCTCTTACAAAGATATGCTACGGCTGGTCAGTGATAGTCAGACGACAACTCTCAGGTGGCGTTGTTCTTTCCCTCTACCTTGAGGGTTATGGATGGAGCGTAGGTGGTCAGGCCTGCACACAAGTGCCTCTCCTCTGAGCCATCTTACCAGCCCAGAAAATAAACTTCATTCTTCGTGTGGAGTCTTGAGGATAAATCATAATAAGCACTGGCTGCAGTGGGCATGGCATTTTGCTGTGGCTTATGAGAGAGAAATAAAGAGGTCATGTCATGGCACCTTGGCCTGAGGAGATATCTGGTTGCCAACCACAGAAAAACAAACTGTGTTGGTTTCTAAGGGCAGGGACAGATTTGTGAACTTGTCATTGTCCTGTCTTGGGAATGATGTCGGACTTTTCTTGTTTTTCAGCTACTAAAGACCCCACAGCTGTGGAGAGAGCCAACTTGTTAAACATGGCTAAGTTGAGCATCAAGGGGCTCATTGAGTCTGCCCTGAGCTTTGGCCGCACCCTGGACTCCGATTATCCGCCTTTGCAGCAGTTCTTTGTGGTTATGGAGCACTGTCTGAAACACGGCCTTAAAGGTACCCTGAGACTTCGAAAATCAATTCACTCTTTGCACCCTAAATATCCTTGAGAAATGGTTGTGAAGCTGTAGCTACTGTCATTTGCTTTTTAAAATACTGACTATCTGGGCTTCGTGAGTAAAGGGCTTGCTACCTGAGCTGGAAGACCTGAGTTTGCTGTTTGGAACGCAGGTTACGGTGGAGGGGAGAGATAAATAACCCTGTGACGTTCTGTGGCTGTGCTTCACCCACACACACAATAATAATAATTTAAAACATGGAATGTGTTGATTCCCTAGTGGATAATCTTCAGAAAGAAAATTTTTAAATAATTGGTGGTAATGGCAGCACTTGGGAGGCTGAGGCAGGCGGATCTCTGTGAGTTCGAGGCCAGCCTGGTCTACAGAGCAAGTTCCAGGACAGCTTGCAAAGCAATACAGAGAAACCCTGTTGGTTTTTTTGTGTTTGTTTTTTATTTGTTTGTTTGTTTGTTTTTCAAAGCAGGGTTTCTCTTTGTAGCTTTGGAGCCTATCCTGGCACTTGCTCTAGAGACCAGTCTGTCCTCAAACTCACAGAGATCCGCCTGCCTCTGCCTCCCAAGTGCTGGGATTAAAGGCGTGCTCCACCAACGCCCGCCGAGAAACCATGTCTTGAAAAAAAAAAAAAAATTGGTGGCAAACATGCTAGATGTGGAGGGTGGGTAGGAGAGGGAGAGACCTCTGTATAACCCTGGCTGGCCTTGAACTCACTATATATAGACCAGGCCGGTCTTGAACTTACAGAGATCTGTCTGCTTCTGCCTCCCAAACTCTGGGATTAAAGGTGTGCACCACCATGCTTGTCCTGATTACAAGTTTTTTAAATGTTCGCCCTTGAACTGGTTTTCATTTTTTCTTGTGTAATTTTTTAAGTTATTACACTTATTTACACACACGTGTGCGTGCACCTGAACATAAATGTCAGAGAGCAACTTGTAGGAAGCAGGTGTCTTTACCCTCTGAGCCATCTCAGCAGCCCCAGATTCTTTTGAAATTGAAACAGTTTGAACCCTGCTGAAGAAATCAAAGTAGATTGTTGAGGTAGAAAGGTCTTCAGTGCATGGGGACATGTGGAAAGTGTCCCGTGAACCAGGTTGCAGTAGAAACAAGTGACCTTCAAAAGGATGATCCTCTACTATGCGGCTCATCTGGAAGTTGTTACTGGGAAAATGTGTGGTTTTGAGGGTCTCTGTGCAGCCTTCTCTAGCCTGGAGCTCACTGTATAGATGCAGCTCTTCAGCTCACAGAAGTCCACTTGCCTCTGCCTTCTCAGTGCTCAGGTTAAAGGTGTGCTCCACTGTGCCGGGGAGGTAGTTTGTTTGGAGACAGGGAATTGGCAAATAGCCCAGACTGGCCTGGCACGTGCAGTGTGGCCCAAGCTTCCCAAGGGCTGACACAGCGGAACCGTCTCTGTGCAGAGGGCAGAGAGCTTTATCAAGGAATCAGGCAACTTAGAACTACATGTGGGATGAACACAAGATAGCAGGCTGGGCAGGTGGCTCAGTCAGTCAAGTTTGAGGATGTTTGATCCCCAGTAACCACATAGCGAGCTAGGTATGGTAGCAAGCTTGTAATCCCTGAACTGGGGAGGTGGAGGCAGGAGGATCCCTGGAGCTCAACTAACTTAATTGGAGATGAATTGGTCCCTGGATTGGGGGGGGGAGGGGGAGACAGACACAGGACCCTGCCTCAAAACACAAGGTAAATGGCTCTTGAGGATGCCGCCCAGGGTTAACCTCTGGACTCCACACACCTGCACAGACACACAAAACAATATGACAAAGCTGGCTGTTGAACATTCAACTTTTAAGTATATACTGCATAATAACAATCCTTTTACTTAAAATAACAATTAAGCCAGGCATGGATAGTACATACCTATACTCTTAGCACATGGAGGGTGGAGTCAGGAAGATCAGGTATTTAAGGTGCCTTTGAGCTACAGACCAAGTTTGAGGCCAGCCAATGTTGGCTGCGGTATTTATGGTGATACAACTTTTTGTATGTGCATGTGCCTGTATGCCAAGTGTGTAAGGTTACCCAAGAGTGCCATGAGAGGCTGATGACTCCCTGGAGCAGGAGTTAGAGACGGTTGGGAGCCTCCTGACCTGACCACTGGAAAGAGAATTCTAAATCCCCAGAGGAGCAGCAAGGGCTCTTAACTGCTAAGCCATTTCTCCAGACCACAGACACTCTTCTCTCCACCCCCACCCCCGCCCCCGAGACAGAGTTTCTCTGTGAAACAGTCCTGGCTGTCCTGGAACTCGCTTTGTAATTCCAGGCTGGCCTCAAGTTCACAGAAGTCTGCCTGCCTCTGCCTCCTGAGTGCAGATATTTCTTAAAAGGATCTAAAAAACTTTTTTTTAATTATGTGTGTCTGTGTATGGGTATGTATTCATGAATACAGGCCATCGGAGGCCTAAGGCGTTAGATCCCTTGGAGCTGGAGTTACAGATGGTTGTGGGTGCTGACTCAGGTCCCCTGAAAGAACAGTACAGTCTCTTAACCCCTGAGCCATCTATCAGTTCATCTCCTCGGTACTTTTATTGCACTAGGAAATTACCAGTTATGTGCCAGGGTGTGAGTGTGGGGGTCAGAGGACAACTAGAGTCCAGTTCTTTCAATCCTTTGTGTATCCTGGGGATCAAATTCTGGGGTTAAGCTTGCAGGGGGTGCCTTTGCCCAGGAGCCATCTCTCCAGCCTGCCTCCCTTTGTATGTGTTGGCTTTGGTTTTTGGTTTGGGTTTTAGTTTTTTGAGACAGGGTTCTCTGTGTAACAGCCCTGGCTGTCCTGAAACTCACTTTGTAGACCAGGCTAGCCTCAAACTCAACAGAGATCCACCTGCCTCTGCCTACCTTGTGCTGGGATCAAAGGTGTGCGCCACCACCCCCAGCTGTTTTTGTTTTCTTTTAAATGGCAGTGATAAAAATCTTTCTTCTCCCCTAAATTGCTGAACTGGACTTTGATAATCATGGCCAAAATAATTGAATTTTAAATTATTTTTAGGAAGTATTGTTATTATTTGGGGGAGTGCAGTGAACTTTATTGATGGTATTCAAGAGAGTAGGGCTCCCTAAGCCCATCGTGGAAGTGTTATTCTTTATTGTTGTAGTCACAGGCTTATCCTCATGCATCATTGTAAAGCTATTTAGCCTTGGTGATTTTTATCCCCACAGTAAAGTTGCTCTTGGTGGCTGTCCTCGCTCAGGGATGGCTTTGATAGCCACATTGTATCTGCAGAAGGTCTGATGGTTTTTTCTTTTATTTTAATGATTGCGTCTGTGTACTGCCTGCATGCAGTGCCCAAGGAGACCAGAAGAGGGCAGCAGATCCTCAAGAGCCACCTGAGAAAGTTGTTGAGACCCAAACCCTTGTCCTCAGTAGCAGCCCGAGACAGGGTCTCTCATGCAGCATACTTGCTCCGTGACTGAGATGACCTTGAACTTTTGGGGGAGTGAATTTTGAGGCAGGGTTTCTATGTATCCCTCGCTGCCCTGAAACTTTCTTTGTAGACCAGGCTGGTCTTGAACTCACAGAAATCCACCTGCCTCTGCCTCCAAAGTGCTGGGATTAAAAGCATATGCAATTATGCCCATGATCTTGAACTATTTTTGTTTGCTTGTTGTTGTTTTTTGAGGCTGGGTCTCTCTATGTAGCTCTGGCTGTCCTGGTACTTGCTTTATGGACCTGGCTGGCTTTGAACTCTTGATCCTGCTGCTTATATATCCCATCTCTCTGATTATAGGCATAGATTACAGCATCCAGGTTTTCATGTGGTGCTAGGCTCAAATCCAGGGCTTTCTGCATGGCTGGCGAGCAGTCTACCAACCGAACTGTAATCCCAGCCCAAACATTTTTATGTCACCCAGTGTCAAAATAAAGGTTGCAGTTGTGTTTAGAAGGAAGGCACCTGTCCTTTTTTTCAGTACCAGAGATCAAACCCAGGGCCTCATGCATTCTAGGCTAGCATTCTGCCACTGAACTCGGTCTCCTATACCTTCAGAGCTCTTCACGGTTCTCATAAATGTTCGCAAAATACTGCAGAGCTTCCCAGCTGATCTAGGTGTGCACCCCATACCTGGCTTTGCCCTCGATTTGTTTAGTAGACTTACAAAACAAAGACTCAGGCCATCAATTAGTTGCTTACCTGGATGTTACTGATTTGAAAGAAGCCAAGATGTATATGTGTATGTGCATACGTGTGTGTGCATTCACTGGTTTCTGATGGCACTAGGGATTAAACCCTCCAACCTTGTACATGCTAGGCATGTGTCTACTGCTGAGGTATGTCTCTAGTCCTCTTTCCTTTCTATCGAGACAGGATGTCACTAAGTTACCCAGGCAGGTCTTGAACTTCTGATCCTCCTGTCTCAGCCTTTCACAGAGCAAAGATGATAAGTGTGTGTGCTCACCAACACGCCATACGTGCATATACAGAGGCCAGAGCAGGACAGTGTCTTTCTGTCGCTCTCTGCCCTACCGAACTGGAAAGTTATAGTTCACTTGGGCAGGCTAGCCCTCCAACGCTGCGGTTACAGGCACACACACACACACACACACACACACACACACACACACCCACACAGCCATGCCCAGTTTGTCGTGTGGGTACTGGGATTTGCTGAGGTCCTCATGCCTGAAGAGCAGACACTGTGAGCCATTGGATGGTCTCCCCAGATGTGTGACTAAACACTGAAGATGTTGCTACCCCCATTTCATGAGTTGAAATTGTACTTTATATGTTTTCCAGTGAGAAAATCATTTTTGAGTTATAACAAAACTATTTGGGGCCCTCTGGAACTGGTGGAGAAGCTGTACCCCGAAGCAGAGGAAATCGGAGCCAGTGTCCGGGATTTGCCCGGCCTTAAGTAAGTACAGCTGCTCATCCCAGTATGAGCACTGCTTCTGTTTTCTCCTTCCAAAGCCCTGCTCATTCTATAACTCAGCGCATACTATTTCCTTCATTAGGTTTTCCTAAGTCCCTTCATCAAGAATTAAGAATTAGCCACTGAGAAGACCAGTGAGGAGGCTGAGGCAGGCAGATCTCTGTATGCTCAGGGCCAGCCTGGTCTATATAGAGATTTCCAGGCCAGCCAGGGCCATATAGTGAGTCCCTGTCTCACAAAAAGAAAGGAAGAAAGAAAGAGAAAGAAAGAAAGAAAGAAAGAAAGAAAGAAAGAAAGAAAGAAAGAAAGAAAAGGAAGCCAGAGAGAGCTGGTGTATTCTAGCTCAGAAATCATAAATGTTGAAAACTTTTTACAGGTAAGAAATTGATTTGTTTTGGTTATGGTGTTTTTTTGGTTTTTTGTTTTTGTTTGTTTGTTTTGTTTTGTTTTGTTTTTTCGAGACAGGGTTTCTCTGTGTAGCTTTGGAACCTGTGCTGGAACTCACTCTGTAGACCAGGCTGGCTTCAAACTCACAGAGATTCACCTGCCTCTGCCTCCTGAGTGCTTCTGGGATTAAAGGTGAGCACCATCACCACCTGGCTGTTTTTGTTTTTGTTTTGTTTTGTTTTGTGACAGGTTTTCTCTGTGCAGCCCTGGTCATCCTGGCAGTCACTCTGTAGACCAGGCTGGCCTGAAGCACACAGAGATCTGCCTGCCTCTGTGCAACACCCTCTACCCTGGCATGCTGGAATTAAAGGTGTGCCCCATCACCACCTGGTTTTTTTTTTTTTTTTTTTTTTTTTTTTTTTTTTTTTTTTTGAGACAGAATTTCAATATATAGCTCTGGCTGTCTTGTGTCTCACTATGTAGACCAGGTTGACCTCGAACTCATAGAGTTCTGCCTGCCTCTGCCTCTGGAATGCTGAATTAAAGCATGTTCCACCATGTCTGGCTCTGCCTTTTTTTTTTTTTTTTTTTTTTTTTTTTTTTTTTTTTTTTTGGTTTTTCAAGACAGGGTTTCTCTGTGGCTTTGGAGGCTGTCCTGGAACTAGCTCTTGTAGACCAGGCTGGGCTCGAACTCACAGAGATCCTCCTGCCTCTGCCTCCTGAGTGCTGGGATTAAAGGCGTGCGTCACTAACGCCCGGCTCTGCCATTTTTTTTTTACTTTAAAATTTTGTTATTTGTGTGTATGTATATATGAGTGTTCGTGTGCATGTGTGCATGCTGGCACATGAGCACATATGTATGATACGTGTGTGGGAGCGAGGGCATGTGAGTGCTATGGTGGTCAGAGGACAATTTTCAGAGTCGGCCTTCTCCTTACATTGTGGCATCTGAGGCTTGCACTCAGATCACCAGGCTTGTTTGGCAAGCCTCTTTTACCCACTGAGACATCTCACCAGCCCTTCATCCTTATGAATAAGAGGACTTAGTTGTGTGTGCACATGTTTGAATGTGTATGTGTGAGCACACTCGCTCGAGAAGGTCCATCCCACTATGACATATTACCTCTTATAGAAGTAATATTCTAGAGATTTATTTCTTCCAAAGCATACAGTAGTACTTAATAACTTGCAGCTGCAGAGCTTGCTTAGTGTTTAAGAGCACCAGGAGCCTGTGTTTGATTCCCAGCACCCAAATGGTAGCCGCAACCATCTGCATCTCTAGTCTCAGGATCCTACACCCACTTCTGGTCTCCTCAGGCAGGCACTGTACCTACATGGTGCACAAATGTACATTCAGGCAAACATGTGTACATGAATAAAAATAAAATCTCAAAAGAGAAAAAAACCTTGCCAGAAGAGCAGGTTTTGCTGACTTCCCAGAGGTAGAGTTGCTTGCTCAGAAAACTAGCCTAAGGGGCTGGAGAGATGGCTCGTCTCTTTGAGAGGACAGGGGTTTGACTTCTCAGCATCCACGAGGTGGTGGTTCATAGCTGTTTATATATCTCCATCAGGTTCCAAAGGATCCAATGCCCTATTCTGGCCTCTGCAGGCACTGTTTGCATATAAATGCATGCAAAACACCCATACACATAAAATAAAATTAACTAGCATAAGGACCAAGGAGATTGCTCAGTGGGTAAAGGGCTTAACTGCACAGGCATGGTAACCTGAGTTTGTCTCCTCAGAACCCATGTAAAATCTAGGTGCCGTGGGTGAGGAGGCAAACAGGCAAAACCCAGAAACCCCCACTGGGCGGCGCAATTTAGGTTCTGTGAGAGACCCTGTCCAAAGAAATAAGGTGGAGAAGCCACAGAGGAAAGACATCCCAAGGCCAGTCTTTGGTTTCCACATGCACCCTCTGGGTCTAAAGAGCACAGGTGTGTAAGGCACATCCACACATTCAGCATCGAGTTCTAAAGATAAAAACAAAAGCATGATAAAGTGCCTTTTTCTTTGTCAGTGTGTCCTTCCGCAGATACAGAGCATGTGGCCATGATTTTAGCACTTAGGCTGTTTTCTAACCCCTTGCTTCTTTCTAGGACACCCCTGGGTCGTGCTAGGGCATGGCTCCGATTAGCCCTCATGCAAAAAAAAATGGCTGATTACCTTCGATGCTTAATTATCCAGAGGGAGCTCCTGAGGTTAGTATCTTAAGGCCATGTTTGTTTGTTTCATTTATATCTTGTCATCCAAAAAGAAGTGAAGAAATACCTATGAAATACCATAAAATAAGAGCAAAATGAGTAAGCTAGTGGTGTTTGTCCTAGGGTAGAATTGCACATTTCTTCTTCTGATCTTTAATGTCCAAATGAGTGCCTCAGCGGTATCATGAACACTGTTTAATTGAAGAACACATGTTGAAGACAGCTTTCAGAGCAGGGCAGTCACCCAGGGTGACTCTTGTCATGGTTCCTGTGGCCTGCCTGTCTGGTATTTGGGGAATACCATGCTGTGTTCAGTTTTGTGACTCCAGCTTCATGTCTCAGTGTTTCCATTTGTTAAATGACACTGGCCATAGTTGAAGCTCTGGAATTTCTCAGCATTATTCTGAGCACCATTTAAAGCTGTAAGTGACACATGTGTGACTTGATGTCACTGTTTCCTGATTATAAAGACTGGTAACTTCATGTTTAGACTACTCTTTTTACAATTTTCTGTCTGTCTGTCTCTCTGTGTCTCTGTCTCTCTCTCTCAGCAAGGTCTCATATAGTACAGACTGATCTTGAACTTGCTGTGTAACCAAGGATGACCCTGAGTTCTTGATCCTCCTGCCTCCACTTTTCAAGTATAGGTGTGCGCCCACCATGCCTGGGGACTGTATTTATTCCCGTGTCCTTAGTTGTTAAGAATACTTAAAGGGCTAGAGAAATGGCTAAGTGGTTAACAGCACTTGTTGCTCTTGCAGAGAACCTGGGTTCTGTTTCCAGTACACATGTGGCAGCTCACAACCATCCAAATTCTGGGGGATCCAATGCTCCCTTCTGGCCTTTGAGGGCACCGGGCACACACATGGTACACACACACACACACACACACACACACACACACACACACACACACACACGCACACACACACGCACGCACACACGCACGCACGCACCCACGGACGCACACGCAAGCAAAATGCTCAAACACATAAAATAAATCTGTTTATTGTTTGTTTAGGACAGGGTATCTATATGTAGCCCTGGCTGGCTTGAAATTTGCTATGTAGGGGAGACTGTCTTCTAACTCATAGAGATCCGAGTGCCTCTGCCTACCAAGTGCTGGGATTGAAGGTGTGCGCTGCCCCAGCCAGCTATTCCAAAGGTCTTAATGAATTTGAGGACTGAAATTTCAGTTCTAATTACAAGTGTCATAGTCATATTAGCAGCAATTACTAAGTCCTGAGAATCAGCATTCCAGGCCTCAGGGTTGCCCCTTCCTCTCCTGACTCTCTCTGAGACAGTGGTCCACAAGCTGGAGGGATGGCTCAGCAGTTAAGAGCACTGGCTTGCTCTTCTAGAACATCTTGGCTCAGGTCCCAAAATCCACAATGGCAGCTCACCCTGTCTGTGATTCCAGTTCCAGGGGCTCTGATGTCTTCGTACAGCCTCTGTGAGCGCTGTATGCATGCAACACACATAGATACATGCAGCCAAAACACTCACACATAGAAAATAATAAAAGAATTTTTTTAAAAAGCCATGGTTTAACTTTCTGCCCAGGCTGGCCTGGCACTTTCTTTGTGATTCAGGCTGGCCTTGAACTCAGCAGTCCCTGTCTCAGCCTCCTGAGTACTGGGGGTTCCAGGCATAAGCTTTCATGCCCAGTATTACCCCCTTTTCCTTTTGCTTTGTCTTTCCCTCACGATGTCTTTCCCTTCTATCTCCTTCAGTTCTTTTAATTTTTTATGGAGACATTGAGCCTTTTTTTTTTTTTTTTTTTTTTTTTTTTTTTTTTTTTTTTTTTTTTCAAGACAGGGTTTCTTTGTGGCTTTGGAGCCTGTCCTGGAACTTGCTCTGTAGACCAGGCTGGTCTCGAACTCACATATATCCTCCTGCCTCTGCTTCCCAAGTGCTGGGATTAAAGGTGTGTGCCACCAACGCCTGGCTTACATTGAGCCTTTTTACAAGTTCAACATTCTGAATGCACTTTGGAGGAGCTTAAGTTATTTCCATGTCTACAGGGTTGGGGAGGTGAGGTGTTCCGTTCAGCGTTGGGTTTGTGATGACTATCTGTCTCTGCTCTGATGTTCCCAGCGAGTTCTATGAGTACCATGCGCTAATGATGGAGGAGGAGGGCGCTGTGATTGTTGGACTACTGGTCGGCCTGAATGTGATTGACGCCAATCTGTGTGTGAAGGGAGAAGACCTAGACTCCCAGGTGAGTGGACACAGGTAACACAAATCGGTGTTCTCATTACACTCAGTTCTCCCTGGATCCGAGCGACTCTAAGCTATACACAGCACAGTTAAACACTTTTTCACAAAATTCTGTTGCATGTTGTGTGAGACAGACACCTGATAGAAACAGCTTAACCATCTACATAGAGGGATCTGATGCTTGCAGTGGCTTCCTCCAGCCAGGCTCCACCTGCCACAGTTGTAAGTCTCCCTCTAGTCCTCAGGTTTGAAATTTGAACAAGGGAAAAACCAGTGCTTTCGGTCAGCACTATCAGGACGTAAACATCACTGGAAGGGCCTTCCTAGACATGCCCACAGCACGCTTCCCTGATGAGTCAGTTGTCTCTTAGGCCAGTGAAAACTGACAAGACTGCCATCATACCAGACCTGCTGAGGAGGGTTTCTTCTCTTTAAATAAAAATCTATTTATTAATTTCAGGTTGGAGTGATTGATTTCTCAATGTATTTAAAGAATGAAGAAGAGATAGGAAACAAAGAAAGGTATATTTTCCTCATTTCCCAATTTTAGGGTTTTTTTTATTGGTTTGTTGTTTTTTTGTATTTTGTTTTATGTTTCTTTTTGAGACAGGGTTTCTCTGTATAACAGCCCTGGCTGTCCTGGAACTCGCTCTGTAGACCAGGCTGGCCTCGAACTCACAGAGATCCACGTGCCTTTGTCTCCCGATTGCTGGGGTTAGAGGCTTGAGCCACCTCCCATCCTCAGCTAGGGGTTGTAGTTTTTACATAGCTATTTGCAAATGAACTTATGCTGTCTGTTCACAGTGTGGTTTCTGCTCCTTCCTAGAGCCCTGGCTTGTATTTTTACTTCATTTTAAAGCTCTACAGGGCAGACATGGAAAGTCCTCTAGATAAGGTGGTCGACTTTGGTCCACAGTAGGAGTCTTGGGTAATCTGTCCTTGTTGAGAGATACCTTAATAACTATATTTTGTGCTAGTGGTGACTTGCTATCTAACTGGATCTGTTTCAAGTGTATTAATGATATGTTAGCAAGTCAGTCAGCAGAATCTTTAGTGCCTGATTTGCTGCTGTGTGAAAGTCTGTTTTAAAAGCAAAGCTGTATTTTATCACTGATTTTTCACAACCATTTCCAGATGATTTAGAAACATTTTAAGCTACCATTTCCTCCCACCACAGGAATGTTCAAATTGCTGCCATCTTAGACCAAAAGAATTACGTTGAAGAACTAAACAGACAACTCAAGTAAGTATTTGAGTACCTAACTATATTAAAGAACCTCATTTTAGGGGCAACTTTGTTTTCACCTTAATCCTTATGCCTTTCTGCATAGCATCATTGCATGTTTGCCTCCTAGGTGTTTTTGAGAGGACTCGAGGGACTGGTTAGATGCACAACAGAAATTAATAGTACACAGAGAGCTGGGTGTAGAGTCACACACCTGTAATAACCCCAGCACTTGGGAAGTAGGGGTAGGAAGGTCATGAGTTCAAGGTTCCCCTAGTAAGTCAGTTTGAGGCCAGCCTGGGCTAAACAAGACCCTGTCTTAAAAAAATAAAACAACAACAATAACAAAAAACTAAAGCCAAAACCTAAACAAAAAGCCCCAAAGGCTGCTGGCGTATCTGTCTCCACAGTTAGAGCCTTTGCCTCACCTGCACAGGGCCCTGGCTGGACTCAGTCAATGCTGGCATCTAACAAGCACCAAGAGGACTTTATATGGAAATGTTGATCCTTATGCTGTGGTTGTTACTGCTGTCTTAGCTCAGATCAAGTTAGGCAGGTTAATGAAATTGTGCCCCTCTAGAAATTTATTCTGGGTCACTGTACATGTTGATGGGACAGTCACATTGTGTGAGCTTGTGTGAGCCTCAATGTTTTGTTGTTGTTTTCCAATTGCAGCAGCACAGTCAGCAGCCTCCATTCAAGAGTTGACTCGCTAGAAAAGTCAAACACTAAGCTGATCGAAGAGGTACTGTCCCCAGCAATGGATGATATGGTTGTCTTTGAGTGCCCTACTGTTTATGGTCCTTTTCTGTTTTAAGTGAGAATGCTGTCAGCATCCACCACCCCCCCCAGCACGCTCTCGTGAGCACTCTTTCTCACGCACATATACACTCTCTAACTTTCACACACACACACACACACACACACTTTTTCTCTCACATTCACACACACACACTCTCTCTCACACACACACTCTCACACACGCACTCACACTCACACTTTTTCTCTCACATTCACACACTCTTACATGCACTCTCACACATTTTCTCTCTCACACACTCACACTCTCTCTCTTTCTCTGTCACACACACACACACACACACACACACACACACACACACACTGTCTCTCTCTCTTTCATCTTGGTGGGACATTTGCAATCGAAGGCTGTAAGTTCTAGAGAACTCAGATAGACCTTGAGTCCCTAACTGTGTGACTGTGGGGTATGTTATTTGCTATAGTCAGTAAGTAGAATTCAGACTCAGAGACGAAAGTCACACGGATTCCTAAATTCATGAAGTGTGGTTCCTGTTACAGTGGGAAGCACCTGTGTGAAGGTCATGAAATGACCTCCAGTCACAAGCAGCATTGCATAGCCCGTCACATGTCCCTACCTTCTGTGTCCGACCTCCCAGCCATGGCTTCCCACACTGCAGATGTGGCTGTTGGGTACCCTTTGCAGAAAACCCAGTTCATCCTTTAAAAAATAAGTAAACAAAAAAAATCTGGGTTTGGGGAATTGGCTCAGTAGTTAAGAGTATTTGTGCTCTTGCAAAGGACCCAGATTCGGCTCCTCACAGCTGACTAACTTCAGTTCCAGGCTCCACCCGTACACTCATGCAGGTATACACTACCAATGAATAAATCCTGTAAAACAACTCAGCTCTTCAATCCTATCTGCAGAGTTGCTTTTTGAGATTTATTTGAGATAGGGTCCCACTATGTAGACAAGGCTGGCCTAGAGTTCACAGAGACCCATCTGCCTCTGCCCCGAAGCTCTAGGATTAAAGGTGTGCACCACCACACTTGACTTTTTTCTTCCTCTTAAGTTTCTTAACCCTATTTTCTGATGTATGCTAAAAACCTGTTATTAGCACTGTGTCCCTAATTTTCCATGATAATTAAAGTTCTTCTTTTAGAATTGTCTCGATTTCTTTCCAAACCAGGGAATCATGATAAATCAAATAAATACTTGGAAATAAGAATGTACCTTTAGCCGGACAGCTCGCCTTTAATCCCAGCACTCGGGAGGGAGAGGCAGGCAGTCTGAATTTGAGTGCATGTGTTTCAACTGTGAAGGTGAAATAGTGTGAGGGGCTAAGATGACTCAGTGGTTAAGAGCACTGGCTGCAGGCTGGAGAGATGGCTTAGAGGTTAAGAGCACTCACTGACTGCTCTTCCAGAGGGCCTGAGTTCAATTCCCAGCAACCACATGGTGGCTCACAACCATCTGTAATGAAATCTGGTGCCCTCTTCTGGCCTGCAGGGACACATGCAGGCAGAACACTGTATATATAATAAATAAATAAATCTTAAAAAAAAAAAAAAAAAAAAAAAAAAAAAAGCTCCTGCAGGAGATCCACACTTTAATTCCCAGAACCTATATGGTGGCTCACAACCATTTGTAACTCTAGTGGCATGGAATTAAAAACTCTCTTTGAAATTTTTTTGTTTGTTTTTTGGTTTTTCCAGACAGGGTTTCTCTGTGTAGCTTTGGAGCCTATCCTGGCACTTGCTCTGGAGACCAGGCTGGCCTCGAACTCACAGAGATCTGCCTGCTTCTGCCTCCCGAGTGCTGGGATTAAAGGAGTGCGCCACCAACGCCAGGCAAAAATTTTTTTTTGAGACAGGTTTTCTCTGTTGTAACCCTGGCTGTCCTGAATCTCAGTCTATAGACCAGGCTAGCCCTCTGCCTCCCAAGTGCTGGGATTAAATTTGTGTAGCATCACTGCCTAGCCTCCAATACCCATTTTTGGCCTCTGTGGTTACCAGGCACACATGTGATGCCCATGCATACATGAAGGTAAAACACTCATCCACATAAATCTAAAAAGGAAATAGTGAAAAGAATAATCTATATCAGGTGTGGTGGGCGTGCCTGGTATCCCAGCACTCAGGAGACAGAGGCAGACAGGATCTGAATTCAGGTCCACCCAGGTCTATATAGTGAGTTCCTGTCTAAAAGAATCCAACAAAACAAAACTAATATACAGTTTTTGTTTTTTGTTTTTTTACTTTTATCTGCATTTATTTTATGCTGAATTTATTCCCATGCCATAAGTTTTTGTTTCTTCAGTTTCCTCTGGGATATGTTTATTTTCTGTGCAACCTCCTCTACTGGCTTTGGAACAATATGTTCCTTTTCCATGAGGATCATCCGATGTGGCAGGGGGAGCTCAGGTATGGGTTAATCTGACCGTGAACTCTGTAAGTTCCTAGACGCGTCTTCGGTGCTTTGTTCACCTGGATGTGTTCGATGACCAGAGAATCTAGTCTAGACCCTTAAGCTCAGCATTATTCTCTGCATTTTTAAGCATGTGCAGCAAAAATTCAGCACTCTTTTTTGGCCACAGACCCCGTGTCCAGCCCCGCTGTTTGGCCGGGGCGCACCTGCCATCTCCACCATTGTATCGCCGGAATGGCACACATTGCTTCTTCAATGTGATATCTTTCAGGTATTTGGTGCCTTTTCAGATATGCATACCCTTGATGGCCTGGGCAGTTTCACGGGTATTCTTAAAGTGAACCCGGAGATTTGAACCTCTTGACTTGCATGATTTTGTAGGGTTTTCTGGGTCGAGGGAGTAGCGAACCATCTTCACAGGTTACCCACGCCACGAGCCACCCAACGTACAGCACCGCACTCTAATCCTAATATACAGTTTTTAAAAAGTATATGTGTATGGTTGTTTTGCCTACATGTATGTCTGTGTACCACATGCTTGTGTACCCATGTAGGCCAGAAGAGGGCACCAGATCCCCTGGAACTGGAGTTACAGGTGGTTTGAGCTCCCGTGTGGGTGCTGGGACATGGACTTGGGTCCGCTACCTGCAAGAGCAAGAGCAGGAAGCACTCTTGACCGTTGGGCCGTCCCTCCAGCCCCCAGCACATTTTTATGCTGGAGCCCTTTGTAAAGTGGGAGACTCATCTTACTGGTTTCAGGGTTTTGTTTCCTCTGGCTTGTAGCCACAGACCCAACCCAAACAACAAGTCTACAGAAAGATGCTCAGAATGGCTTTTTGTTTGTTTCACAATTTGTAGTTAGCAATAGCAAAGAACAATATCATTAAGCTCCAAGAAGAGAACCATCAGTTACGCAGTGAAAACGAGTTGATCCTAATGAGAACTCGGCAGCACCTAGAGGTGAGTAGCGATTGCTGAGCCTGCTGGGGTCCTGAGTCGTGTAGGCCAGGTGTGTGTGATGGCAGAGCATGGTGTGATGGCTCCCTCAACCTCTTCCTCCTAGGTTACCAAAGTGGATGTGGAAACTGAGCTCCAAACATACAAGCATTCCCGGCAAGGTCTAGACGAAATGTATAATGATGCCAGAAGGCAGCTTCGAGACGAGTCACAGCTGCGACAGGTAGGTGACCTTGCAGACATTAGCGAAATCCTGGGGATAACTTACTCTCAAGCATGGACATTCTGTGTTTCAGCCTTAGCTTCTTGGGCATTGAGCAGAACATGACACCCTTAATACACGACTCCTGGTCTGTTTTTGTATTTATTTTGTGAGTGTGCACACAGGTCATGGCACATGTGTGGAGGTCAGAGGGATAACTCTTGAGCCGGCTGGTTCTCTCCTCCCGAGTGGTTCTTCTACCATAGGGATTGAACTCAGGCCATGAGGCTGGTGTCACACCTTTGTCCACTGTTCCAGTCCATTCTGCTGCTGTGGAAAAGCACTGAAATCCACACAGGGAGGAAAGGGTTGGTCGCAGTCCTTCACTGAGGGAAGTCAGAGCAGGACCAGTAGGCAAGAGCCTGAAGCTTGCTTGCTCACTCAGGCTCATGTTCAGCTTGCCTTATATAGCCCGGGGAACTGCACCACCCTCAATGGGGTGGGACCTCCTACATCCATTATCAAGACCAACCCCTCACCCCCACACACACACACACGTGATTCTAAGCTGTGTCATAAAACTATGAATGCCCATGGAGCCATGTTGCAGGCCCAGTGTTCTTAACCTTTTGTTTGTTTGTTTGTTTTTAAGCTTGAAAGACACATCTCTTGGTCTTTTTAAAACCTTCCAACCTGTGCTTGTAGTGTGAATGCAGCCCACCATCACAGAAACAGTACCTAAGAGGACATAGTGAAATGTGTAAATATTAGCAACATCGTATTTAAAATTTTAGCTTTCAGATAGTAGAGTGTACACAAAAATGCACACATATAGCTTAGTGAGTCATAATGCCCAGGCCAAGAGGAGGATATGGCCCGCCTTTCAGTGCAGTCTTTCTGTCTTTAACATTAGCGAACGTCTGAATCAGGCTTTTGGGGGTTTATTGAGATAGTATGCTGCTTAGTTCTTGTTAACTTGACCCAGACCGGAGTCACCTGGGAAGAGAACCTCAATTGGGAAAATACCTTCGTCTGACTGGCATGTAAGCAAGTCTGTGGGTCATTTTCTTCATCAATGATTGATGTGTGAGGGTCCAGCCCAATGTGGGCAGTGCCATTCCAGGTGGGTGGTCCTGGGCTGTATAAATAAGAAGGCAGTCTAAGCAAGCCATGGGGAGCAAGCCAGTAAACAGCTCTCCTCTATGGCAGTGGTTCTCAACCTTGCTAACAGTTTCGACCCTTCAATACAATTCCTCATGTTGTGGTGACCCCCCCACATACACACACCAAAAAGTTATTTTTGTTGCTAATTAATAACGGTACTTTGTTACTGTTATGAACCATAGTGTAAATATGTTTTCCAATGGTCCATTGGGGGTCAGGATCCACAGATTGAGAACCATGGCTCTATGGTCTCTGCCTGTATGTTCCTGTCTTTGCTTGTGATGGACCTGTAAGCCAAATCAACCCTTTCTTCTCCCAAGTTGCTTTTGTTTAGTGTTTTATCACAGCAACAGAAAGAAAACTAGGACAGACAAGATTTCACTAATGTAGCTCTGGCTTGCCTGGAACTCTGTGTAGACCATGCTTTTTTTTTTTTTTTTTTTTTTTTTTTTTTTTTTTTTTTTTTTGAAATAGAATATCACTGTGCAGCCCAGGCTAGGTTTGAACTCAAAGCAATCCTCCTGTCTCATCCTCTTCAGTGCTGGGACTACCCATGAACCACCCCAGCAGGCAGGTTGGTTGTTCAATGACAGGCTTAATAGGAGCAGGTGAGTGGGATGTTGTCTCCCGTCTTGTTGACTGTTACGAATCTGATTTTGATAACCTGAAATACCCTGTTCATGAAAACATTGTGAAATTGCAGGATGTGGAGAATGAGCTGTCAGTACAAGTTGGCATGAAGCATGAGATTGAGCTTGCTATGAAGTTGCTGGAGAAAGATATTCACGAGAAACAAGACACTCTCATAGGCCTTCGGCAACAGCTGGAAGAAGTCAAAGCAATCAACATTGAGATGTACCAAAAGCTGCAGGTACAGAGTGGTCCTTCTATCCATGGCATTCCTAGGAACCCAGCCCCAGGCTTCCTGCATGCTGGGCAAATGGGGATCACCCAGCCACCTCCACCTGGATTTCATTTCTTTTTCCGAGGCAGGGTTTCTCTGTGTAGTCCCGGCTGTCTTGGAACTCACTCTGTAGACCAGGCTGGCCTCAAACAGACATCCACCTAACTCCCAAATGCTGGGATTAAAGGAGTGTGCCACCACTGTCCGCTTCTCTCAAATATTTTCTTTTGAGACCAGGGCTCTCTAGGTAGCCCTGGCTGCCCTTGAATTCACAGATATCTGTCTGCCTCTACCTCATTCAACTTAAATGTTTTAAAATGTAAATCTTTATGCCCTTTTATTTTATTATTATTTTTATTCTCTTAGACATGTAGCCCTGGCTGTCCTGGAACTTGTTATAAAGACTAAGCTGGCCTTGAACTCCCAGAGATCTGCCTGCCTCTGCCTCCTGCTGGGATTAAAGGTGTGCGCCACGATGCCCAGTCTGTTATTTTTCAATAACATGGAAATCTGATTAAGTTGTTTTCTTGATTGTATTTTTGAAGAATATTAAGATTATTGTCTGTGTGTGCCTTGGAGCATATATGGGAGTAGGTTCCCCTTCTACCATGTAGGCTCCAGAGGTGGAGCTCCACTAGCCAGGTAAATATATCATCTCACTGAGCTCTTCTCTGGTGCATCCTGTGTCTTACTCTTCCTATCTGGTTATTTTGGAGAAGGAGTGGCTGCTAAGGCTGGCCTCTGTGCCCCTGTGTTGTGAGGCTAGTATTGAACCCATAATCTTACCTACCTCCTGAATGCTAGGATTTCCAGGGATACACTACTACACTTGGCCTAATGTCTCAAAATCAAAAACCACCATAGCTGCTGTGTTTTTTATAAATAGGGTTCTGAAGACAGCTTGAAAGAAAAAAATGAAATCATTGCTCGCCTGGAAGAAAAGACCAATAAAATCAGTACAGCCATGAGGCAGCTGGAACAAAGGTACGATAGATGCTCCTCTGAGTCCTCTCCCCTTTCTCTCTTCACCTCTGACAACCTGCCACAGAAGTGTTAGACCTCACCCAGGGCCTGCATCTTATCTAAGCTCAGCCAGATTTTGCCCTCTTTTGGTTGCTGCATGGAATCAAGTTGCTTTATTAGGGTGATGGTTCGTTTGAAGTTGCTCTCTTGGAGATACTTTAAAGGCACAATATCTGTGACATAAAACTAAACACAAAGACCTGGAAAACAGAAATGGACAGGCTCTGGTGGGACTGTCCCATTCTTCACCATTGGCCATCTCCTATCTGAAAACAGCATGAGTTGACAGTGTAGTTGCTTTCTGAGCTAGGACCCTCAGCCTAACCCAGGACAGGATTTTATGTCAATGGAGTTCTTTTATCCTGGCATTTTCATTTTACTGTAAAAATGTAATGTATCCATTGCCCTGTCATGTTGAGTCAACATGTCTCCCCATTGCTTTCTTTGAATCTACTTAGGAAAAACATAACTATTGATGCTTTACTGACACAAATATTCTTTTATTGACATCCTCTTTCTTCTTTTTTCTTCTTTCTTTTTGTTGTTTTCTTTGTCCCCACTTTTACATTTTAAACATCTTTATTACTGTTTCTTGTCTTTGATTTCTGTCCATTCCATTATGAAGTGACAATGATTTGTTAACTCAGACTAGGACAATTGCAGTGTCATTGGTGAAAAGTGCTGGCAGTGACCCCCAGGACCAGTACAAGCTGGTCAAAGACATCTCCTTCTGAAACTCATTCATAGCAGAGAGCCCACCCTTTGACCCAATGTTAAATTGAAAAGAATTTATGCTATCTTATGTACAGGGCTGTAGGAGTCCTTCATGGCTGCTGTGAGACACAGCAGGTGCTTGGGACTCCCAGCTGCACTGCCTTGTGCACTTGAGCCTCAATTGCTTGGAGGGCAAGATTTTCAAATGGCTTTATCTTTTTAGCTACCTTTTGATGGAAACTAGAAACCTTTGGTTTCAGGCTGTGTTGGCACAGATAATATCACACACACACACACACACACACACACACACACACACACACACACACACACACACACACACACACCTGCCCCATTTGCACACTCTGCCTGATGGCTCCTTACTGATTTTTAAAGTTAAGTTTTCAAAATAGTTTCCAAACCACGTTGGCCATTGCCCTGGGCTTCAGCACCTCAGCAGTTTTCCAGTAGTCACCCCCCTCACCCCCCAGTCCTCTTTTGTGATAGCACAACTGCAAGGCCTACCTCACTTACTTTACTTCCCGTAACTGTAGAGAAGAAAGCTGAGTCCACCCTTACCGCCTTAACCCTTTAATTCCAATGTAAACCTAGAGGTAACTTTCTTCCTCTCCTTTCCTTGGAGACTTTTTACTCACTATGTATGTTGCCTTACTTAGGGTGTTTTGGGGACAAATGAAAAGACACAAGATTCTCTTGTGACTTCTTATGAAAAGTAAATGTCCATCCAATCCTGGGAAATATTTTCTTATAAACCTCAAAAATCTTGATGGTCAAGGGAGTCAAGGAGTGGAGCTAAGCCTAGAGAGAAACAGTGACTTAACAAATAAAAACAGGAAAAAAGTGACCATACATAACATGTTAAGCTAATCTTTACTATTTAAGGTGAAGAATAAAAGTTAGGGGGCTGGTGAGATATGACAGCAGTTAAGAGCACATGTTCTAACAGAGGACCTGGGTTCAATTCCCAACACCTACGCAGTGTGCCTCACAACTGTCTATAACTCCAGTTCCAGGGGACCTTACACCCTCTTCTGGCCCCAGGCATGTATGTTACACACAGACATATATGCAAGCCAAACATTCATAAACGTACAATAAAAATCTTTAACAAATTATTTGTAGGGAATGATGCCAACAAGCATTGAATCTTTTGAATCTTAATATCTATCTATACACACATACATATACAGCTTTGTGTAGAGCTCTGTTAGGAAGACTCTGTTACTGAGGATAATAGTTGCTCTTTGCTCTTAGCCCTGTAGCGCACTTGGTTCCCAGCACACACATCTTAGTATCATGTCTGACAGGTGTGTTCTGCACTTTCTACAGACCCAAGTGCTACTCATGGCTTTGTGAAAAGGCAATAACATATCTAGCCATATTTGAGATTTGAATCATTACCCTCCAATGGTAAAATCTGTATGCTTTGCATTCATTATGAACAAGAAATAAAACAAGTTTCAAGATAGTTTTCTGGGCATATTATATCTTGCATTGAAAAAAAATCACAAAACAATTTCTAGACATTGTGTGGCTCTTTCACGTTTGAGTTTGTGAGTTCTCCCCCCAGACTTTGTTTTCATTTAGAAATGTTTCTATTTCCCCATTTTTCTTTTATTTGTCTTCTTCACCCTTTTACACCCTAGTTCTAGCCTCAGTTTTACCCAAAGTTGATTTGAATTACACCAGATTGCAGCAAGCAGAGAAGGCCCAAATGGAAGCAGAAGACGAGGATGAGAAATATGCCCAAGAGTGTCTGAGCAAATCCGACAGTCTGCAGAGACAGATCTCGCAGAAGGAGCAGCAGCTGTGAGTGTTTGGTCTTGGAACCAAATTCTTATACTAGCATGGTCTCTGCCAGCCAGTGTGGCCCTCAAAGAAGGCGTGTGGGGGACATCTGTGATGGCTCAGTAGGTAAAGGCAGTTACCACCAAGCCTCAGCTCAGTCTCCAGGACCCTCATGTAGTCCTGCACATATCCCAGCTCCTACATAAGGACATTTTTTAGAAAAAGAAAGAAATTGGAGTAGGGATGCCGTTCAGTGGGCGAGTACTTTGCTAGCATTATTGAGGCCCTAGGTTGAAGCTCCAAAACCACACATACACATACTGAAAATATAATTGTTACTCCTATTACTTTATCTAATTATTTTTGGAGATGATGTCTCATGTATTGGGCCCAGACTGGCCTACATAATTCCCTCCATAAGCAAGGGTGACTTTGACCCTCTGTCCAAATCCTGCTTCCACCTCTCAATACTGGGATTTTTAGGTAAGTCTGCCATACCTGGCTGATTGTGATGCTGGCAGTCAAAACCCAGGGCTTGTTCATGCGACACAAGCACTCCATCCACTGAGCTGCTTCCTTAGCTCCTGTTGTCTAAGATTTAAATTTTTAATTACACTGTTGTGTGTCTCTTAACTGCTGAGCCACTTTCTTTTGATAACAAAAATAGTGCATTGACCTGGAGAGGAACATGAGTGATGCTTGTAGAGTAAGGACTGAAACCCCTCCCTGTGGCTTTAAGCTGTTCTGGTATAACTGTTGAAGATGATACTTTAAACTGTCTGGGCTTCAGTATAACTCATTGGTAGAATATGTGCTTCTTAGTTTGCATGAAGCCCTCAGTCCTCAGCATCACAAAATGAGGACAAAACAAGACTTTTCTTTGTACATATAAATACACAGGTAATACATGGTTTTAATTTCATTGTAAAATTTAAAATTATATTTACTTATTTAGTCTGTTAACATGCATGTACCAGAGTTATGTCTGGGGAGGTCAAAGGCCAACTTGTGGGAGCTGGGTCGCTTCTCACCATGTAGGCCTGTGGGATCAAATTCAGCTTGTCAGGCTTGGCAGCAAAGCTTTACCCACTAAGATAGGGTCTCTGCCTCCCAAGTGCTAGAATGAAAGGTGTGGGCCACCATGCCTGGACTAATTTTCTGTTTTGTTTTGTTTTTTAATTTTGGACTTATTTTAATTTAGAATAGAAAACCTTGGGGCTGGAGAGATGGCTCAGAGGTTAAGAGCACTGACTGCTCTTCCAGAGGTCCTGAGTTCAATTCCCAGCAACCACATGGTGGATCACAACCATCTGTTATGAGATCTGGTGCCTCTTGTGGTGTGCAGATATACATGGAAGCAGAATGTTGTATACATAATAAATAAAATCTTTAAAAATTAGAAGACCTCTTAGGGAGGAGGAAAGGAAAAAGAAACCACAAAGTATACAGGCAACTTTTTACTTCATGAGCTTCTCACACCCTCATTTGTTCACTAGTTCCCACGAAGAGAAAGCACTCAGCCACCCACAATAATGTTATTAACAGGGATATGGATCAGTTTCACAAAGCCAGTGAATCCCATGATAGCAAATACCATGGCTGTGGACATGGCAACCTTCTGGAATTCTTTTCTATCCAGTTTGGTGCATCTTTTTACCAGCCAAATTGAGTCCTTGACAAACTGCCCACTGGGCTCAACAAACTGCATTACGTAGTCCATGATTGGCGGTTGTGGGATGTCGGCTTGAGAAGGTAGAGACATGTAGCTTAGAAGAGGAGAGAGCCTTTTTTTTTTTTTTTTTTTTTTTTTTTTTTTTTTTTTTTTTT